ATATAGTCGTAAACACTTCTATTAAAGTATAATGGACCACTCTGGAAGCACCTCATTTGGATTTAAAGAGACAGCATCTAAATGAGTTGATCTGAAACACCCCTCAGAAAACGAGTGAACAAGGAGTTAAAATAAGGAGGAGCAAAGCATTGCTGTTCCACTGTATATAAACCCCAAATGAATGATTTAAATGTGAAAAAGAAGGATTTAAAAGCAGGATATGTCTCCTTTAAATAACAATATATACCGGTATATATTTTTTTGCTACCACAGTGCAGTGTTCTCCCGGTCATTACTACAACACCAGCACACACCGCTGTATTCGCTGTCCCATGGGCACGTTTCAAGGCGAGTTCGGCCAGAACTACTGCGTCGGCTGTCCTGGAAATACCACCACGGACTTCGACGGCTCCACCGGCATCATGCAGTGCAAAAGTACGTCGGATCACATGCTTCAAAGGCGCTCAACCAAACTCCAGATTTAGAGTTTGAAAACATTAATATTCAACACGTCTGTGTGGTTTTACAGACCGGCAGTGTGGTGGAGAGCTGGGAGAGTTCACCGGCTACATCGAGTCCCCGAACTACCCCGGGAACTATCCGGCCAACATCGAGTGCACCTGGACCATAAATCCACCGGCCAAACGTCGGATCCTCATCGTCGTGCCTGAAATCTACCTGCCCATTGAGGACGAATGTGGAGACTACTTAGTGATGAGAAAAAGCTGTGAGTTTTACCTGTGGCTGTCTCACAGTAGCTAAAATATCACCACTGATGTTTTAAACCAGTTCTGCGTCCCTTTTGGAAACATTTTTAACATTCTCGTAAAGTACTGAGAATAACCCTGTTTTTCATTGTATGCTGATATTACACAAAGAGCTCTGTTCTAGCATAAATGCTGCACAAAACCTAAAAGATTAGATTTTATTTTGCATTCACATCTTTACCGCACAGCTCTGCCCAACTCTGTGACGACCTATGAGACGTGTCAGACGTACGAGCGCCCCATCGCTTTCACCTCCCGCTCCAAGAGACTCTGGATTCAGTTCAAGTCGAACGAAGGAAACAGTGGGAAAGGCTTCCAGGTTCCATATGTCACATATGATGGTACAATGAGCAACGCACTTTACTAAAGCAGTTTAGATTATTCCATTATAATATTTTATACGGAWTATTAAATAATAAATCAGGATATCAGGAACTTTTTTGTGGATTTTATTTGTTTCAGAGGATTACCAGGAGTTGATTGAAGACATAGTAAGAGACGGGAGGTTATATGCATCAGAGAACCACCAGGAAATTCTCAAGGTATGAATGCCTTCCTACTGTTCATTTTATTGTTTTTTTATTATTTTTTTTATTGATTGATTTTAAACACAAGCTATAAACACAAAGAACAAAAACAACCACTGGTGCTGAC